CCTCCTCGAACCCACGAGCAGTCGGGAACAATACGGTGGAAATAAATGCACGTAACATTTATCGAACAGATAATTCGAGAGGCATCCCCTTTCTCCCTCCAGCTATACGACGGCTACGCAATCATCGCCATTCTGTCTCTGCCACCCTCACTCGCACCGCCCCGGGACTCACGTTTCATCTGGATGAAGTTGAGGTGCGTGATGGCGCGGCGCGCCGACTGGTCGTCCAAGGTGAGGTCGGCGTGCGGCGATATCCTGGCCTGCGTGGCCACGTCCTTGTACCAGGTCAGGTCCGCGTTGGCCACCCGTGTGATAAGCATGGAGCCGACCTGTGCGACACCATCGAAATCGGTTAGCTGTACAGTAAATTTTTAGCAGAGTTGCTAAAAACAGCTTAATAGCTAAAAGTTAGCTACATATGCTAAATAGCGAAATAGCTTAATAGCTTAAATTTTTTGGCCAAATAGCTTAATAGCTTAAAATTTTTGGCCAAATAGCTAAAATTAGCTACATCGCTAAAATTAGCTACATAACTAAAATTAGCTACATAGCTTCAATTAGCTACATAGCTTAAAGAGCTCCGTAGCAAAAAGAGCTCCGTAGCAAAAATTGGCAAAATGAAATTAGCTAGAGCAAAATTATTATCTATCCCATATTAGCCACTGTCTTAGCTAGTGCTTACCTGCAGGAAGGCGGGTGGGTCCGTCTCCTTGAGGGCCTCGATGCAGAACTGGATGAGGCCCGTGGTCTGCTGCAGCTTGCCCGTGCACTGAGTCACCTGCTCGCGGAGCGCGCGCAGCCGCACGTCCCGGTCGGCGCGCACGAACTCGAGCAGCGAGGCGCGCCGCTCCTCCAGCGCCAGCACGAGCGCGCGGACCTGCGCCTCGACCTGCGCCTCCAGCTCCGAGCAGTTCTCCTGTGCGGCGCGGGCAAGACGGGGGTCAGTACGCGCCACGGCACTACTCCCTCCCTCACCCCTAACGACAATGTTGTCCCGCAGCCTTTCTTTCACGCCACATC